CGTGCCCTGCGGCCGGGGCGGGGGGGCCCACCGGCCCGTGTCCGTGGGGGTGCCCGTGGGCGTAGCCCCCATGGGGGTGCCCGTGGGGTTGTCCATGGGGGTGCGGCGGTGGATGGTGCGGGTACCCGAGCGGGTACCGCGGGAGGTTGCCGGAGCCGGCAGAGCTCGGCCGGTAGGGCGGCGGGCTCTCGCCGTCATACACCGTCTTGTTGGGAGGCGGCCTGACGCACTTCTGGTAGATCTCGCTCTCCTGAAAGCACACCGACAAGGTTAGTCAAAGCCGTCAGCGCGCACTGCGCATTACAGTACATGCCAGGCAGATCGCTCGCCAAACCCACCTGCTCCGGGTCCCGGATGTGCAGCCGCGCGCTGGCGCCGGGGGGATACTCCTCCCCGTCGGGCAGGGCTATGCTGGGCGGCAGGTCGAGCTGCAGGTCGGTGGACACGGCCGCCAGCCTGACGGCCCTGTCCACGGCGCAGTCTACCGCCCTCCGCGCGTGAGCGTGGGCCTGGGCGTGCGCGTGCGACGACTGCCGCTCCGGCCGCCCCGCCCCCACTCCCGCCTCCAACCGCAAGCGCTCCATACCAGAGTGCAGGGCCAGCATCTGCAACAGGACAGAGAAAAAACGAACGTCAGAACAGAACAATACAGAGAAAACAAACGCCGGAACACGCGCTCCCTTGCAACAACGTCGACGCGGGGTGCAGCAGAGTCGGCGCCCGGCCGGTAGGCAACGTGGTGGCACGGCGCGCCGGCGGGAGAGCCTACCCCGCCGGGGGCCCGGAGACCGGCACGGCACGGCGGCAGCGCCGGAGCCGCGCTTCCATAGATTCTACACGGGGGCGTTTCCATAGAGTCTAATTGGGGAGTTTCCACAGTAGTGTCTTCGGGAAGTGCCCGCCGCCCCCTGCGCGTTAGAGTCTATAGGAAACGTCGCATAGACTCCATGGGAAGTGTCCCCACCTAAACTCCCACACCCCCTATCGGCAATCAGGCCCGACACCGGCGCGGCGGCGCATCGCGTGCACGGTCTAATCGCGGCCCTAGACGGGCCCCCCTCAGGTCCCCTCAGGTCCCCCCAGGTCCCCCCAGGTCCGGCCGGGCCGGCCTTACGGTTCCGCGCCCGCGGGGCCCTCACGTGTCGCGTTATCAGCGGCGCGGCCAGTTGGACGGCAGACTGCGCGGCCGTGTAATCTCTGTTCGGCAGACGACTGCGGGCGATAGCAGCGCGGCCCGGCGCGGCCCCGGCACTCACATGTGAGTGTGTGTGTGTGAGTGCGCCCTCCTGCTCGGCCCGAGCGGCGCGACGACGCCGTGCCGCGTTTAGAGACAAAACCGTCACCCCGTCCCCTCCTCCTCCTTCTCCTCCCCAAACACCCTCCGCGCGCGCGCGCCGCAAATTTAAACCGAGTGTCAAGTCGTTGAACTGCGGGCCGCGGGCGCGGGGCGGGGCAAGGCCGGCCAGACGGGCCAGCCGGGCGGTGGCGGTCAGCCGAGCCGCGCCGGCCTCGCCGGCCCCGCGCGGCCGCGACACGGCGGCGCTATTCAAACGAGGCCCCGGGCATTTGCACACGGCCCGGGAAATGAGCGGTGAAAGCATGAATGAATGCGTCGAACCACACACTGCACCCACCCACCCACACACACACATACGAGGGGACAAAGGCAGCGCCACCAACCCCCCCGGCGGGGACAGACGGCCCCGCGCCCGACCCAGCCGCGGACACCACCATAACACATTCCGCAGCAAAGTCCGCGCGCGCGCGTCGGAAATAAAGAAAAACTCGGCGCCATAAATCCACTGCTGCTGGCTGCGCTGCGCTTCGCGGTGCTGCTCCGCGCGGCCGCAGAGAACCAAGAGAGTCAGCGCAGCGCACAGCCAGCAGCGCAGCCAGCCGGTGTGTCATCAGGGATTATTGTGGCTACTATACGGCCGGGCCATAAGCGCCGAGTCCTCGCCCCGGGTCCGGTCCGCCAGTCGGGCTGGTCCCGCCGGGGCGGGGCTGTCATCTCCCGAGACGCGCAATAAGCGAAATGATACAGAAAGAAAACTGCTCGCTTCTTCTCTCGCGAAGATGACGCCGCCGCTGCCGCCGCCGGTCAGTCAGTCTTCTCCCATTCAGAGAGAGAGAGACGCGGAGGAGAGCGGCGGGAGGACGCGCCACGCCACGCCACGCCACGCCACGCCGCGTCTGGTCAGTGGACGCAGCCCAGCGCACGTCGCGCGGCCAGACTACACTGTCAACAGCGCGGGCGGCGGCGGCGAGCGGCAGCAGCGCACAGAGAGGGAATTACCAACCAGCGGCGGAGGAGAACCAGACGCGCGGACGAGCTGCTGCTGGGCGAGCCGCAGCCCGCGACGGAATGCAGAGCCGAGCTTTTTAATCAACGTGTCGAGGAAGCGGAGAGTTTTTAAAAGGTTTGTCAGGAATTCCAATAAAGGCGAATTCATAAAGCGAATTCTTAGGGCGCGCGTCTGCTGCTGCTGCTGCTTGCTGCTGTAACGGTTTGATTTTCCGTTTTACCATGCCTTCATCTGTTGCCTTGACCGGCCGCGGATGAGTGGGTCCGGGACTCCTACAAGGTAGGCAACCCATCTCTCTTTAGTTGGGTTTCGGTCGGAGGGATAGCGCCACTGTGCGGTTCGCTTCACTCCCCCTCCCCTTCCGGGTTGCTCAGCTGGTTGAGCGTTTTGACGGGTCGGTCAGAGCCAGAGCTGATCCTGCCACCGACCCGGGCGTTCAACAGCAGCTCCGCACAACATCTTTCTCTTCCCCGGTAAGCCTGGCCACGTGTTTGGTTGAGGTTATGCTTTCTATTTCAATTGAGCCCTGAACTGAAATTCTCTTTTTATCTTGTAGGGTCTTTTTACTATGACTCTTTGTCACGTTTGTCGTCTTGCTGATCGTGATGTCAAGTTTGTTGGTGTTTGATCCACCTCTACAATGCTTCAAGTCCTGTTCGGTCTACAGTGGAAAGTGTGATTTCTTTATGTGTCGTTGGTAGATATCGCCATTACTCATCCTTGTATGTTGATTCTGTAATGTGTGGCCGTGGTGCCCGTCGTATGTCGTTTTGCTGTGCTTGTATGCTTTGCAGCCTTCGTTCTGTAGTAATGTTTCACTTTCACTAGTATGACGTTTGAATAAACTCTGTGATATATTTTGGGTAAATCTTTGGTAGGAAATTTGCTTTTCCTTGGCGCCCTTTAATTAGAAATTCAAAGTTGAACCCAGCCACTCTACCTGGCACGCTGAGCTGAGCCCCAGAGTTATGTCTCTTTTGGAAATATAGTTGGAAAAAATGTCAAAGTAACACTGCACAGTACAAACCGTCTCGGCCGCGCAAGGTGCTGCCGCTTTGGCGCACTTCAACTGACTGTCGGGGGAGACGTGCCATGTGTCAAGCTGACACCTGTCACCGCACAACTGTCACGACGCGCGCGCACACGCCCCACACACTCACACTCGCCCGGAGGTTAATATCCAACGGGCTTCACTTGACGTCCACTGTAATCCGGCACTGTAATCCAAAGAGTATCCCGCAGGGAAGAACACACACAGACGCACAAGACACTCACTTTCCACCATGGCTTGTCCTGCTCCTCGCCCTGGTGGAGGGGCAGGGGCTTGGTGGTGGCGGACGCGCCTCGCCTCAGGTTCTTGACGAAGTGCACCAGCTTCTTGACGCGCACCCGTCGCATGGCGGCCAGGCCGGCGACGCACTGCACGTCGGCGCAGCAGTCGTGCACGCTCAGCACGCTGCCGATGGGCCCGCTGGGCCGGCACATAGCGTCAGTCTAGACGTCATAAAAAGTATCGGGCCCCAGACATTAATTCTTCCGCACCAACACCGCGGCACAATAATAAAAATCCTCGTCAGTCGTGGCGGCGGCGTCGCGCCCGTCGTGCCGAGCGCACTGTCAAAAACAAGACGCGCGTCACACTCGATGTGCGGGCAGAGAGGCCGGGGCGGCGGGCGGCGCGGCGCGGCTCGGCGGTCTGCGGTGTGAGGCGGCGGCTGCGAGACTGGCGCGGCGGGGCGGGCGCGGCCCGCGGCCGGGCGGAGCGGAGCGGCGCGACCCGACGGGCTGAGGTGAGGAGCTCGCCGTGACGAGCCGAGCACAGCCGAGCCCGGCCGCGG